GGAATTATGAATATACTTTCGTCTCTTGAGACCTTCCAAAACTCAACATCAAGTTTCGCACGTATGATAAGGTAGATTAGATAGTACTAAATAATATTAATTAGAAATGAAAAATAAATTATGCCCTCTTGAGCATTAATGGGTAGGGACTTGAAACATCAAACATCTCCTCATTTAGTTCCGAGAAGAGAAATTATATATATGTCCAATATTTAATGATGGTTGAAACAACCAAGATGTATGTCATCCAACTCGACCACATACTCTTTCTTAATGACATATTTGACTCTCTAAACAAACATAATTACTATTCAGTATCATCCAATACTGCTTACCAAATATATACTTAAGATGTTATGCTTTACTATTTCTCCCTCGCACCCTCTTGATACACGTTCTTTAGGTGTGACAAACGTGGAAGTTCGACGGAAACAACACCGTGTAACGGCGATTGGCTATGTTGATCCAAACAAGGTGTTGAAAAGTGTGAAGAGCACAGGAAAAATAGCTGAGTTCTGGCCTTATATCCCTTACAATCTTGTTCAATATCCTTATGTATCTCAAGCCTATGACAAAAAAGCTCCTTCTGGTTTTGTAAGAAATGTTGCACAAGCTGTTCCTGTGCTGAATGCATCTGATGAAACAATCACATATCTTTTCAGTGATGATAATCCAAATGCTTGTCATATTATGTGAGGATTGTTTATGTAATTCTAGATTCGAGTCAAAGAAGATGATTATTTTTTTCTTTCATCTTTCATGTCGAATATGTATCTTAGGCATATCAGATGAACTATCGGACACAATGTTTATGTTGTGTCGTTATAGCTAATATCTCGTGTTTCTTTCTTAATCTTGTCACTCAACTTATGATAAAGTGTTACATTAGTCAAAGAACACTTGTTTTTCTTTAAAATTACTGTTAATTTTTCTGACAGAATGCCTGATTTGGACGACCTCTATGTCGATGTTACATTAGATACATGCAAGAAATTTTATTAGAAAATTTAAATGTATTGAAACTGAATGACCAAACTGACACAAAAATAAATTTCAGCAGACTTTCAAACAAAATAAAGTTCATTGACATTATGAAGGAAACTTCACTGTAAGTTGAGTGACTAGGTTTTTTTTTAAAATAACCCTAATCGAGTGTATTGGATGAATTATCCCGTATAATATATATGCACATATACTTTTGTTGGCTATGATTAATTGAGAACACGACTCTTTTTTGTCTATGACACCTGTGTACAACTAATATTTTACGAGTTTTTGCACACTATTTTGTTTTGTTTAGATCTAATCGAGTGTGTCAAGTGTATCATTTATCTTTTATTGGTAGTGAACAATCTAATCTTTAAAGTATATGATAAGTATATTTTATATACTTATCCAGACCAGTAAATTGAAGTATTTGTCAGTGATTTAAAAGAGTTATAGCTTAATTTTGTATTAATTATGTTTATTAGTATGAACTCAATGTAAATTGGTGGATTTAGCAGACAAGAACGAAAACGTGCGAAATGAGGAATTCCAAAATTTGAGAACCAAAGTGTAAACATCCAATAGTGGATTTGGATCACAAAATGAAGATTGAAGATCATATGACATCAATTGGATACAATTGGTGGTCAAAGAAGTGAAATAGAGTTGAAGTATTTGGACAAATCAATTGTCAGCTGAAAAAATTATGCTTCGAATTTTTAGCTTTAATTTGAAACCCATTTTTCGGATATCAAACTTTTGAATTGGAAAATTATGCCTTGGAAGAATGTAGCTCTTTGAGTTAGCTTTCCAATGCACTTCAAATCACCTTAATCGGAGTTCGGAAGAGAAAGTTATAAAAGGGACAACATTGCATAAAACGACGTGCAAGCATTGGCATTTCTCCGCACGCGTGGCACCTTGATATGCATTTCTTGAGAGCAAAATCATTGACCAGTGTGCCCGCAATGAACTATATGGTGCGCGCATGAGGTCAAATTTTCTGTGATAGGCCAATTTCCTTATTCCGATGAAATTCTACATGAAAATAATATTTTGACATACTATATATACCTAAACACGTCCAAAACATATGGAACCTCTCTTAGACCTAAAAATATCTATATTCTACGTATTTTGGAGGAGATGAACAATGTTAGGCGTCAAGATCAACGGGGATTATACAAGTTTATTGAAAAATATTCATCTATTTTCAAGATTCAAGCTAAGAAATAGGATTTCTTCATAATTTCTTCTTTTCGGGCGATGTTTTTTCAATATTTCTTGTATAATTTAATCATTAGAACGGTATGCTAGTTTTTCTACTATATTGGATGAATGATGAACCCTATTGCATATTTGTTTTGATTTAAGACTATTAATTTAGTTATTTCTTGATTTTTTAAAATTGATTGTATTATTTAATTGATTGGCCACCAATTGAATAATTAGTTGTTTATTGTAGTGTTGGGAGACTCGCAATAAGTTTAAAATGCCACAAAATTAACATATGTAGATAGAATTATGAATAATTTTTATCACATACGTAATCACATAGATATCCTATAACTTAATGCATTTTGGTTATATGAATTCGGATTAGGAATATGATCAAGTCGTGATTAGAATAGATTTAATTTATCTTAAAAAAGAGAATTATATACACTAGTGTTATCGATTGTCATGAAAGATTGAAATTGACTATATTACAAATCAAGAATTAAAATAAATGACAATAGAAAGATTCAAAATCCAATACAATCATTCACATATTTGACAAAATATTTTTTTATTGCTTCCTTAGTTTAGAATTAATTTAGAAAACAACAAATTACGTATTTTGTGTCACGAACATCGATAGTAAACTAGAATTAAACATTATTACTCATAGGACGATAACTCACAACTCACCTTATTATTACTTGTTAATGATCCCGTACATTTGCAAATTTCACACGAACAGTGTACGTGAGAGAATTTTTTCAAGGGAGTGGTCAAATCAGCAAACATATGGCAAGAGGGAATTCAAAACGAAGATACTACTTTGTCAATTGTGAAATAGAATAAGATTTTTGATCTCCCTAAAAGATGGAATTAAGTGCTTGTTTGATAAAATTTGACGAAAATTTTATCGACTTTTCAATCGGTCAAATTTCAATTTTAATTATACATTACATGAGATTCACTTGTTTTATTGAGTTTTCAACCACATTTCCTTTCAATGTTTGCCAAACTTCCTTTTCAATCTTTCCCTCAAATTCTGGCTTTAATCAGAGCAGAATGATGTAAGCCAGCATATAATAATTAAAAAAAAAATGTTTTTGGATCCAAGAGCTTATCCTAAATCTAAAATATCATTCATATACACTAGTTTGGATCCAAGATCTTATCCTAAATCTAAAATATTATTCATATACACTAGCTTTGGAAGACAATAACTAGCTTCTTCTATAAAGTTGTATTTGAAAAAAATTCAGATTCTATGTACAATTCCAAAATATTATTAGAATTCGATTTAGAGCTCGTTACTCTTAGCTTTTACACACGTCTCCTACGTACTGCGCCTTCTATAATTTCTAGTTTATTTAAATAAGCTAGTATGGACTCATATTTCTTAACTAATGTGTATATTATCTACAACAAGAGTGACAAATATAAAGAGATTCGTTCAGTCGAGATGGGATACAACATATAACGCAAAGGATTAGAGCACGCTTGGACAGAAGAAATCCACTTGTAAAATATTCTTTACATTGCTTCAATCTGATATGAGCTTTTTATCAAACATATATCCACTAACGATATTAGGAAGCAATAAGTCAAAGAAACTTCATAATTTTGTCAAGCATTGCTGCTTCTTAGATTTAATTAATTAATCAACTTAAAAGCTGCAATATATAATCGTTTCATCGGGATCTATAAAATGGGTTATTCTTGGTGACAACCCTCTAAACGTCTAGGGGTTGTCCAAGGAGCTTTAACCCTAAAAAATATACAAAATGATGAACTTCTGCGACATAAAATTGTTCAAATGGAGGATAAAATAAGAATGTAAGTTTAAAGTCGAGTCAATTGTAGGTCAACTTTATGGTTAGAGTTATAATTCATTAGTTATTTTGCATTTAATAATATTGAATAAAATTGGGAATTAATAACGCCAATTCAAGAAAATATCTTAACATGCAAATATGTAGTAGTGAAACATTGTGCAGGAATCTCGCACGTGCCTTCCACAGAAGCTACGAGTATTTACTTCTTCTTTCATTCAATAAAGAAAATAAGTAACATATTATTCGTAAATTAATATATATCATTATTTTATATTAAATAAAACACTATAAGATTGAGTGAATATTATAAAATAATGTCATTTTGTTCTTAAAGTGACACAAATATTTAATTGCTTTTGTATGTTTTCTTTTCTAATTTTTTGTATAGGTAAGATTCTTGTAGTATTTATATCTTTCTCCTCTCAAATTTCAATATTTTGTACTTTATCATAACAATAAAAGTACTTTTGATTGCGAACATAAAACTCGTATGAAAAAAAAAAAAATTTTAGAATTTATTTGTATAAAATTTATAAATTAAATGAATTTTATTGATTTAGCTTTCAACTTAAAAAATATTTGTCCATTTTTTATTGACGAGTAAATGAAAGAGCAAAAGAGAGTGAATTACCTGAAAAATAAAATTATAAAAATCACACCAATTATTTCCTTATTTTTGAAGAAAATATAATCACATGATCTAAAGTTAAAAATATTTTCCATAAAAAAAATTATCCATTAAACATCCTAAAAGTAGAAATTTAGGTGAAAAATGACATTTTTCATGAAAAATGAAGTCAATCAAATACGCTATGCATCTTTACTTTCTTAATGGAATTTTTGGACGATACCTTCGTCAAGTACAAGAAATACTAATTAATAGAAGGTTGAGGATTTAAATGTTATGAAAAATAACTAAAAGACGTGAGTATGACAATAAGTAAAAAATTGCGAGTGCATTCGTAAACAAAAATGTAATATGAATATCATTTCAAAAACTAAAATAAAATCAAATGCATGTTACAACCAACAAATGAACTAGTAATATAGTTTTGATTACATCAGAGTCAAATGTTAAAATGCCATTAAACTTGGCAACTTTATTGAATGCATCTTATAATTGGCATAAACAATGATATCACAACTTAGTTGTACTTCTCAGCCTTGTATTTGATTTCTGGGTTGCGAATATCGTCTTGACTTTGAATCAATCGAATCTCCAAACTGCTCGATTGGCAATCATGTCCGGCCTTCGTATAGTCATTCAATGTCCTCGCCAGAAGAGCCTGCAATAGAGAATTACATCTCAGCCACCATTCAGAAAACCAAGATCCAAGTAAAAGAATTAACAAGTCATGGACTATTTTATACTACTTTGTATCCGACTCTCCATCCTAACACTTGATTCATTCACCGGAGTACATTTTCCAGGGTGGAATGAGTAAAGAATGAAGCTACAAGTCTCGATCTATAATAATGTCACAGGTTTGTTTTTAACCCGGTAATTCGCTCAGACTGTTCATTGTTTTAACAAGTTATTATCAAGAAGTTCACGGATAATAATATTGCAGTTATTGAATAATGAATCTTAGCTTTGTATACAGATATTTGGCAACGGCATGACAACGATAATCAGCAAAAAGAATACCTGTACGCTTGATACGGACAGCTCTGCTGCTTTGTCGAGGTTTTCAGGATATTTCTGCATAGCATGGTAGAACTACAATAAGAAATCGCTAAATAATAAATGACAAAGTTGCTCAAGGACATAATTTAATTTTGCTCAAGCACTACATTGCTCCATCCTAGCAACAGTGCAGTCATTAGATCTCCTGTTCCCTGCTAGCAAGCAATGTCATTTTATTAGTTATATCTGCCATAAAGGATTAATAAATATTTGCATGTGGACGAATGAAATTGATTAAACAAAAACAGAATTCTAGAATAGAGGATTTTCCCCCAAAAACGAAAAAGAAGTTGTAAAACAAAATGAAAGAAGTAAAGGTGTGGATAGTCGGAAGGATGAGAAAAAGAGAGAATAAGAATGATATAGAATTCCAATATGTAAGGTCGTATAATGTTGAACATGCGTATTTGCAGAAACAAATTAGTCAAGTTAACCGAATCCCATTCCTGAAACTGCAAATTTCAAAGATAAGTTAGGGTAAGTCGGGAGGGAGGGGGTTCAACAGCCGAATGCACTCCACATCCATATCAGCCACGTGAAGCAAAGGCAATAAGATCCTTACAACTTTGCGAATGAAAAACATAGAATACTTGTCAGGATCAGCATCTCGAAACTAAAAATGTTCTCATGTATTGCAAAAACTCAAAACATTTCAATGCCGTTCTACTTAGGAGCTCTAAAAAAACATGACATTTCTATCAAACCCAGAGCAGAAGAGCTCAATGATAGCTGGTTAACTCTTCAAAATGATAAATAATTAATGGATATAGACAAGCAAAATTTGCAGGAAGGTTCACAAGTGAAACAAATGCATACCGTGAAATAGGCAGGAATTTTGGAAATCAAAATCTTGAACTGCTGAGATTGACCCTGTAAAAATTAAAGTTGTTCAACAAAAGAGGAAACACGTTATAATCAAAACCTAGAATTACTGTACCAAGTAAAAAAGTAAATAATCCTTAAGATAACATTGATAAAGACTCAGAACAATGTACAAAAAAGAGTTAGCAATAACATGCTTGAGATGAACACTTGGTAATATATTTACTCCATCTTCTTATTTTTCTTGAGATGGATATTCGTACCTTCTCTTTCTGATGACTGCCAATCAGGAGAAGATTGCCATCTATGTTTATGCTTGTAATCACAACCTGAAATATGACCCTAAATGTTGTAAATCTAGAAAGAAATAAAACTAAATTACAACTGTATGACTCTAGTTTTTTTCTTGCTATTCCATAAATTCCTTCAAATCTCATAGCAACTTTGATTATTGATGCCTGATAAGGCTGAGTTTCTTGAAAAATTGAATCATTAAAAACTACTACAATGCTTGCATTTCTCATAACATCAGCACACAGGAGAGGACAAATAAACAGAAACTAGACAATCAGAGAGAGTGAACATCAGCAACCAATTGACAGATTCTCAAAAATTATTGTCTATATTTTCTTTATGCTGAAGATCCCTCTTATTTTGTTGAAATGGATAAAAGTTCACAAGAGGAAAATTTGCCTTTTGTTTAACATCACACTTCTTCACATAAACAACAGTCAGAAGTATAGTTAGAGATACATATTACAAACCTAGAGAATCCATTATTAAAGTTGTGTAATTAAGATTAAACAGATTAGTAAGAGATATATAGGTCTAATTGATGAAGACAAGCTACTAAATCCAAATCCGCTTGTGCTTCAATATACTTCACGATTTTACGCGTAGTCGGGAAAGTTGTCTATGTGATTTAAGAATAAGTTATAAAGCAGCAATCTGGCATCAAAAAAGCAGATTTTAACATCCATTTTAAATGCTAGATTATTTGTTCTAAACTATTTTTAAAAAAACCAATGTTCATCACTTGAAATTTTATCATCAGGCCAAGAAGGATGAAAAAGGACGCTCTAAGCTAAACCTAACCAATTCTCTCGTGTGAACTAAGATGATGTATGACAATTCTATCACAAATATGACATGGAATTATAGATTGTTGTAATACAATTTTATTTCTCGTTTAGGTTATGATTTTTTTTCCCTTTTCAAGATTTTAATTTTGTTTCCTTCTATGGTTTTTATTTAGTTTCATTATATTAGCAAGACTAGAGAATTATTTTGCCCATACATACACAGGCTTTGTACACTTTCCAATTAACCAATTTATTACAATAAAATCATTCTTTACAAATTTTTGAGTTGATTCAACTTTATTCTTTTTTCAAGAATTCCAAGTGGTAGTTATGTGCATCCTCATGACGATGATTGAAAAGTAGCTAAATCACCAACCTCAATCTAAAATCTAGAATGAAGGATGGATAGGTTCAGAGATTTTGTTGACAAAAAATTGCAAATTTTGACTGCTATGGATGTTGGATGCTTCAACGAGTGCAAAACACAATAACAAGTGGCTAGAGTTAAGTTTGAATTCTTAAAATGTGATGCAGAAATTTTGGTGATTTTCCTCCTAATTGATTAATTCTCTCTTCCACCAAACTCGAGGACGAATTTTTTCCCAAATAGGGGATATTGATATAGGACATTCTATTACAAATAGGACACGAATTTATAGATTGTTGTAATAGGATTTTATTCTTGTTTAGATTATGATTTTGTTTCCTCTCAAGATTTTAGTTTTATTTCCTTTTATGATTTTAGTATAGTTTCATTATAATAGTGATACTAGATAATTTTTTTGCCCATATATACAAAGGCTTTGTACACTTTTCAGTTAACTAATTTAATACAATAAAATTATTCTCTACAAATTTTTGAGTTGGTTCAACTTTATTCTTGTTTCTAGAACTCTAATTCTGCTTCTGCACCAAGAGTAACTCTACAGGAAGTTGGTTTCCAAGCAAAAAAATTCAAATGGAAATGCCCTTGAAGAAGGGACATGATCACAACAAATGTAGAAAAAGGCAATTGAATGTCTGAACCAAGCCAGCCAAAGTCCACTACAAAGACAGTCTCTCAGTGAAGAGTAAATGATCAGTGAACAATTCAAATAGAAGTCTTATTTTATTACTTTAGGCTATCCTTCCATGTATAAGTTGTTAAAAAAACACAAAACAAAACAATATGATCTATCATTATAAAGGAAATTGCATAACTCAACTTGCACCATCATAAAAAGAAGCACATCATAAACAACCTGATTCGGAATGTGATCTTTGTTACCAGTGAATCATGACACATTCAATGACAGGAATTTAATTTTAGGAGAAAGACTTCAAAAAGCAGCTTGAAGAGGAAAGCAAATATCAAGACAAAAAAATTGCATTAAGTGAAAGGCTTGGGAACCAATTGAAACTAATTTTCTAAGGTTTCAGCACGAAGACAAACCTTTGAAGGTCCTGCAGCATGAAGAATGTTGCAAGCTTCCCTACCATCTTGTTCAGATGTGATCCTGAGACAGGCAAAACCCACCATAGAAGGCAACAAGGACTAAGATAATGGCACAGACAAAGATTGAATAGTAAAAAAGCTGCATCATGATGTTGCTAAAATATTCAGCCATGTAGTAACCTCCATAAAGATACAAGTACATTTGGTATCTGAATTGGTATTAACATAAATAAGAACAAACAAAGCATCACTGCAATTTGACATGGATGGACCACACAGCAACCAGAGTGGGGATCAACGTTCAACAGCAGTTTAGATATATATCAACTTCAAATCATCAATGATTAGCCTGATTGGGCATGCTCTCATGACCCTAATTACACTGCAGGCATCATTTCTTACCGTGCTGCTTTTGCTTCAAATTTTAGTAAAGTACCCATGATATTAAGAATAAATAAAGATTCTCTCATTAAATATATGTGTAAATAAAATAGCAACTTCACATATTTCGTAAATGCAGCACAAAATTGCTGTTCTGTTTCACACTAGGCAACCAACTTCAACAGGCAGTAAATTTAACAAGATTGAGACAAGAATATCCTCATAGAAACACAACTATACTCGATCAGCTTCATAACTAGTTTGGCACTATTTAGATGGAATGAATACCTTAAACCAGTTAACTGTTCAGCCTCAAACTGATTAGGAGTCAACATCGAAGCAATAGGGACAACCTATTTTGAAGTAGCACTTCAAAGCGTTAATCATTAGAAAATTTAATCATTGGTTTAACAGAAAAATAAATAATTGAAAGTTAACAACTCGATGCAACTAAGTCTTATCCCATCATTATTAGGAGACAGCTATATTGATAAAACCACCTCCAAAGTCAAAATATGAAAGGCAGCAATGATTCAAATACTTTTGAGTTACCTCATTCCATGTTATTTTATGTACTTAGAAATAAAGGATTTTATTCTAAATTCAGATTGTACTTTCTTTTATTCTTTTTCCTTTTCTATTAAAAATAATTAAGATTTGGGAAAAATCTATTTCACATTGCCAAGAAATAATGCAGAAAATTGCTAGTTTCCTTCCTGAAAAAACTGACGTTAAGTTGAGAAAATAAGAACAAATAAAACCCTTGTTTGGTCTCCATTATTTCCAAAATACATTTTCCCCCTTTTATTTTCAACCACATATTCTTCAATAAAATAATATTAAACATCAACCAAAAACTTTTCCTTATTTTTTTAGCCGCACATTCTCCTTCAAAATTCTATTCCAAAATGCATTTTGGGGAAAAAATGGCGCCCAAACAGGCTCGTGATGTTTATTTTGAACTTGAATAAAGCATTTCCATGTGGTCAAAACATAAAACATGAAATAAACAAATATGATATCGACACTTTTATGATTGGAATTAGTCACACCTAGGAATTGAGCTGTCAGGCATGACTCCATTTCTATTAAGGCCATTTGAAGAAAGAAAGACTGAGAAAACTAGGTCCAGCAGTACATCGTCCTCTATAAGCAAGCTAATGCATTAATTAAAGGAAAATCCACTTCCAAATGGAGAGTATGAAATACCTTCTCGCGATATACCAAAACCAGTTCTTGAGGGACATAAAGCTTTCCTTCATCGCCCAAAACTGGATCACAGACTGAATAAAAAGCATGTAGTGTTAGAAGACAAAATTTACATCAAGATCCACACTATGAAATATAAATAATTTTTAGCTCTATTACTTATAAGGTCTCCAATTTTTTATGCATGATCAGGATCAACGCTCTCCACCCCCAACCAAATCCAGAAATAAGAGAACAAAAGATGAATAAAAAAATATTTACTCACATGCAACTTATAATTACTTCTATAAAAAGTAGCAGAAGCTCAAATTAATATGAGATACTAGGAATACAAAATCCTGAATGTCATTGTTAATATGAATGATAATACTTTATCAACAGGTAGTGGCTACTTACCATATGTAAGTTTTGGGTTGATAGACCTAAGCTTGTCCACAACTTTTAGTACAGTGTTCAAGAAGGAGATAGAACCAATATAACCTACAGTACGCCATTAAGAATTAGAAAGCACAAGGCAGAGAGTAAACAAATCAAACCTTTATAGACTAACAAGTGTATGTAGAAATTTTTGAAAAAAAAAATGTTCAATTGAGTTTGTCTTTTAAGAAATGAAAAAAAAAGTCTCGAAAGTATAAAAATGAGCGCAAACTGAACATGTGGGAAAGAAAACTAAGGTGTTGACCATCATTTTTTCTGTCAAAAGACAAGGCTGTGGATTCAATTTTTAGAGGGCTTTTGAGATACCTGTCAGTAGATGAGTATAGAATAACAGATCATTAGCCTCAAGACCATCTATTAACTCCCAAAGTTGGTCTCCGTTCAAAACCTGGCCCTTAAAAGATGGGTATCCTGCACAAACTCGGTTGAAGTAACAGCAAAATTATCTGTATATATCTAATGCAACGTGCCTGATCATTTACAGATTCACAGATGACCTCGCACCGTGTTTCAGGCGTCAGACTGTTTGAACGAAGTGGTATAAGCAGCTTGCCTGTGTGGTTTGAGAACTGTACAGAATTGATGGGGTCCACGTCATAGCCAAGTAATTGTAGAGGAAAGACAGCTGATTTATTGCCAACATATCCCTTAGGAGAAAAAGAATTGGAAATGATCTCAACGTAAAGCTTACAATTTATAAATAGGATTTTTGAGGTATATCAAGAAAGCACAAGTGAATCATCAAACAGAAACAATAAGGATAGAAAATCCAAAATGGCAATAGAAGAATAAAAAAAAAATGTAAGCAAATATGGATATCATGGTGTGTCTTTTCTGTGTATAAATGGAATTTTGATTAATGTCATACTTCAGAACAGCTAAAAAGTGCATATTTGATTGTTTAATCTCCATAGTACAATTGATGAAAGAAAGGCTAGCAAGTAATTTGATTTACTTGTGCGCGTATATGAAGACATGAATATTGATGAATTCTTCCTAAAAGGAAAACATCCTTAAAATAGCAAAACTCAGGATTGCACCACAAGGGCACACAAATAAACATAATAAAGTCGTATGGCTAAAATGAAGACAAAACTGTTCAAGATAAAGGCATGATAAATATCCTTAAAAACCACTCCTTTCCTCCTACATATTCTTAATATTTAAAAAATTCCGGCTTATTCCAGACCATCTATGCATCCACATCAACAGAGTACATTCCCCTTAACTCAGCAATATTCTTCAATACACTTGGAACAACAATAATTTCACATCAACAGAGTACATTCCCATTAACTTAGCAATTTTCTTCAATATACTTGAACAACAATAATTTCACATCATCAAAAACCATTTCTTTCTAATTTAAAAAAACAATAACCCACAAGCCATTCAGATAATATATTCAAAAGAGGGCTCACAAAATTACTTTGAATTAATAAACAAGAAGCACCTGAACTGTGTGAGATTGAATACTGAGAACCCGCCCTGTCTCCGACGGCAGTTCTAAAGCAAGAATCGGCGGAGGCGCCATTACCCACTTCTTTGAACTTCTATTCAATCTACAAATTTTCCATTTATAAACTATCCATTACATAAATAAATAGATACACAACTATACTTATATGATACGGAAAAAAAAAAAAGAAAAAAGAAAAAAGAGAAAGTTACCCAGAAATGCAAAATCTCCGGGTGGGTTTAGGTTCAAACAAGCCAACGAATGAAGATTTGAGCATAAATAATTCGAGCAATCTACTTATGTATACGGTACGACTTATTCTCAAATCTCTAGCATTTTTCTTCTTCAACAATAACGATTCTTTAATCTCTAGCAATCATATGTGTATCGTCGTGATTCGGGGGAGTTGATGTGGGAAGGGCAAACTGGGAATTTAACGTTGATAGATTCCGCAGGCGAATCTTGACTTTGTTTAGGTTTTCACGTCAGAGTACGAATTTTATCGCAAGATTAAAAAAGTTGGCTTAGGGGTCCAGTAGGTTGACAAAGGGGGATAGTCGTTGGTTCATCTTTGACCATCTTCAAGCCTACAACTACACCGAAATTTACATTATTTTACATCAAATTAAAAATTATTTTCAACATATTACATAAAAAATTGTACAAAATGAATAATATTTAATTATTTTCTTCTTAACAATTTATTTATCTAAAAATTTATTTATACCCATTATTTTCAAAATACATTTCTCCCTCCCTATCTCTCTCTCTTTTTCTTCAATAGTACTCTCTTTAAATTATTACATGCAAACTCAATTTTATTTTTATTTTTTAATCACGTATTTTCCATCATTCCATCATTCCAAGTTGCATTTTTCAATAAAAATGAGGCTCAAACATGCCATTAATTAATAAACTACTACATAAATTACTAAACAAATAATTACAATTTGTTAACGAAAATATTGAATTCATTAATATACAAAATGTTGTACAAATAATAATAATAATAATAATAATATTATTATTATTATTAAGAATTAAAATTTGTTTCATAACCAAAAAAAAAAAAAAAGACACAAATAATCTTAAATAAAATTTGGTTCAACATGGAAAAGAAGGGCAAAAAGGATATTAACCACTTTGGTGCAAAATTGTGCAAGTGAATAGTGCCACCATTTTGGTGAAAATATGATGTTGGGTTGGAGAGGGTTTTCACCAAATTTTTTGGTGCAAAGTGGGGAAATGTTTTAAGGGTTGAGATGTCCATAACTCGATTATGAACGATTTAAACTCCTATTTGATCACCATTAAATTTTATTTTCATTTTTCTCTCAACTCTTATAAATCATATGTTCTCTCAATAAAATAATATTAGACATAAATAAAAAAATTCTTATTCTTTAACCAAATATTCTTCAAAAAATATTATTCAATAATAATTTTTTTTTTCAAATAATGGATCCTAAACAATTGATAAGCCTGTTTTGATACGAGTCATAAGTCAAGTGAAGCTCCTATCTTTTTACGAGTTGGCTCATTTTTGAATTTATTTTATTATTATTATTATTTTGAAAAATGCTCATTTTTGAGTTTATTTTGTTAATTCTTTAAAAAAAAATGACTCGTGGGTAGTCCAACTTGGCATATGAGACCTACGAGCCAATAGGCCAAGTCAAGTCTAAGATTTGGACACAAGCCGAGCTTGGGTGTCGAAAGGTCGAGCCGTGCTACCCCTAATTTCCCAATGGGCTTAGGAATAAAAAAGTTGTACCATAAAGTATTTTAAATAAAAATTTAATTTTATATAAATAACTAGATAATCTGGATAGGTGCAGGGCAAGGCATCCTCGACCAGCCTCCCCATTCAGGACGGATGCGGACCCCAAAGTTTTGTGTCAAATTGCTTCTTTATATTGCATCTTGGATGGATCTGTCTTGTGAAATTATGGGTGCAACATGTGTTGATAGCAGGAGGTGAAAATTTGCTTTTTTGAAGATTGTGGACCAAAATGAAACAAAGGTTAAAGGTTAAGGACTATTACCGCTCTTTGTCTCAAAGACCGACTTCTATTGGTTGGCTAAATTACGAGAAAAAAAAAATGATATACAAATTTTTTATTGTTGTTTACTTCTTATGGTAGCATTATTTACTTCATCTTAGTTGACAATTTAGAGGGTGTTTTTCACCCTTTTTTATGGAAAAATAAATTTTAGAATAGTAGATTGATTGAAAATGTGTGGATAAAAAGTAAAAAAAAAATTTTGATTTATGTATAATATTATTTTAATGAAAAATGTGTGATTAAGAAAAAAAAGAAAACTGTATTTTGATAAAAATGGGAATCAAACGGGACCTTAATATATCAAGTTAAATGACACATAAATTGTCAAATTGGAAAAGCACGTTTATGAGTTCTTATAATTGGTTTATAAATAAATAGAGATGAGTGTGAATAAGTGGATAGCATCAATGTATTTCATAATAGGAGTAAAACAATGAACGAGCACACTATCCAAGCGTCGTTAATTTTGAACAAAGATAGTTGAACAATCATCTTCTAATTTTCGTTTGATTGCAAAGATAAAATTTGAGTGGAAAGAAAACGAATTTTAGGGAATTGAATTATCTATAAATTATTTTCCTGAGAATTGTAAATTATTGTATTTGATTGATATAATTTTTCACCTGAAAAATGTTGAAATCAAAGTATTTTTTGGTGTTCGCTTGGCTTTGTTTTACATGAAAATTGTCAATTAAAAAAATAGAATTTACTGGTATTGAGGATGCAATTTGTTTCCATTACCAAAAAAATCAAGAAAATCATCTATCTTTTAGTGTTCGTTTGACTTTGTTTTACATAAAAATTGTTAATTAAAGGGAAATATTTTTTTACAATAATTTTTAGAATTTATTTCCATTACCTAAAAAAAGGAAAAACGTCAACAGTAACTAGGAAAATCATGTCAATTCCCTCCATGATTTTCCTACAAAAACAAGAAAATGGCAGCTCCCAAGAAATTCAAAAATTTCTATTCCATGGAAAATAAATCCCTATCAAACACACCAAAGTTGGAAAATGTCATCCAAATTTTATTTTAAATGGAAATATTTACCAATCAAACAGTGCCTTAGTTCCTCATAACACTAGAAAATTAAAGTATCAAAGGCTTGTTGTTTTGCGGACGAAAACCAATAATTTGAAATCCTTGACTTGAGACATCAAATACTGAGGATAGTAAAAATTTGAAAAACCCCCAAATCTATATTATTTGTTCAATAAAAAACCAAGCAAAAATGATAAGAGAAAACGTGCTCAAATAGAAAACCTAACAAAGAAAACCTTAAAATTTGCATAAGAACGTAAAGGCCTGCACTCAATTAAAATTCAAGAAAAATAAATTAAATAGGAAACAATAACATAACATAACATAACATAATAAATATCAACCCTTAGACATATTTCGAACTTCGTCAATCTCTCCTAGTTGAAAAAGATTTGTCCTCGAATCTTGTATGTATCTCAATCTCATCCATGCCTCGTAAAATCTTTTA